TTCTCTAACTGCCCCACTGGCGCTCTCTCCCTAGCCGTCGCTCAGACCTCCGACACGGCGGCGGCGAGCGCGGCTCTTGTGGCCGTCGATTCCGACTCCTCTAAGAAAATTGCTGATACTTTTGGCCAGCGGACTTCCATTTACAGAGGCGTCACTAGGTGTGTCCCATGTATATATACGAGTGTAAAGTTTTAATTTTTTGCATGAATTTAGAACTTCCCCTTGCCGGTCGGCCATGATTTAACATGGTATCAGAGCAGCAAGATCTCGAAACTAATCAATAAAGTATAGAGAATAGAAGAAGAAGAAAGTTTTTAAGTTTTTATAAATGTTGTTGTAATTGCAGGCACAGATGGACGGGTAGATACGAAGCGCATCTATGGGATAACAGCTGTAGAAGAGAGGGTCAGGCTAGGAAAGGACGTCAAGGTTTGTTTCTCTCTCTAACAACAACGAGAAAAACATTAAAAAAATGAAAAAAAGATGTCTTTTTTGTTGTTGGGTCTTGAATAAAATTGCAAATGGGAGAGATGGGAAGGGAAAAGAAGTGTTTTTTATTGGTGGGTTTCGAATGAAATTGGAAATGGGAGAGATGGGGAGGGAAAAGAAGTGTTTTTTGTTGTTGGGTTTTGAAGTAAAAATGCAAACGGTAGAGAATACGCATAGGACAAATACGTACAAAATCTGAAAAGAAGAAAAAGGGAGGCTTTTGCATGCATGAGTGAGTTTCAGAGATTTTTTCATTTAATGGCGGATCTGAGAGAGAGAGTGATGAATTAGAATTAATGGGTTTTGGGGGATTTTTATTTCTTTTTCTAAAAGGTAAAGAAAGAAACTTGGGTTGGGCACTGGGGTTTCTTATTATTATTATGATTGACTGATGGTACGTAATGTGTACTTGTTTTTCCCATTTTTTTTCTTTTCTTTTCTTTGGATTGATTTGATCAGATGTGCCGCCGTTTTGTTTCTCTCTCTCTTCTGTATTGAGTTAATTTAGTGGTCACTTTGATGAGACTCACATCCAGTGATGGAGAGAGGGTTTCAGGCATCAATCCATGAGTCTGAAACACTACTCTGTCTCTCTGTAGCTGTGTTTTCTGAAGAGTTTTTAAGCTTTTGCTTTTGCTTTTTTGCTTTCTTCATATGCCCCAATTGACCAAACCACCAATTCCCATTGTTTATTATATCCTTTACATTTGACTATCCCACATTTTCAGTTTACACACATAGAGGTTTGAGTTCACAACCTAATTAAGGTCTAGACGCCTCGGCCAAGTTAGTAGAAGTTGTTTGTCACGTTAGAATTTGGATTGGAATGGATATTTGATTATCAGGGTGTGATTTGTTAGTAAAAATATTTGATTATCAGGGTGTGATTTGTTAGTAAAATTTGACGTAGAAACAATTCAACCACTGTGTTGAAGTTTGGGTTTGATTTTTAATGGACGGTCTAGCAACATTTATCCGGGCGCAGAGGGAATGAGTTCCAACCATGGTGATCATGTACCTAGGATTTGCTAGTCTATATGTGTGAATCAAATGGGGTGTCTATGTGTGTGAATCAAATGGGGTTTGTGGATAGTTTTGCCAATCAGACCCATTTGTTTTCTTTGAAGTCAATTAGTATTATTGGGAAAAAGATTTGTTGATATTACATGCTAATCACGTGGTTTTTTAATTAATTTGTTTGGGTTTTGAAACAATATCTGATTTTTCTTTGACTAGCGTGTAAAACTTTGACCTTTTTTTTGATATGTTTGTTTGGCAACTTGCTGAGTTGAGATTGTCTCTTCGCTTTTTTGCACGAAATCTGCGGCCTTGATTTTCCTGCTGGCATTCACATTCCAATTCTTGTTCTTCAGTCTATTTAGGTATGAAATTTCTTCCCTTTATTAACTTTTTTTTTTCTATTTTTGAAAAAATATTTAATTGAGTTCCGTAAATTTTTTATTTTTTCCTCTCAGGTGGGTATGATAAGGAGGAAAAAGCAGCTAGGGCTTATGATTTGGCAGCTTTGAAGTACTGGGGTCCAACTGCTACCACAAATTTTCCTGTAATATAATATGCATAAATATATATAATCTCTCTTTCCTTAAAATTATAATATGGTAATTATTTGATAGTCTTACTTCTGGTATATCCATAATGTTTTTCTAACTTTCTTCACTCAATTTGTTGTTTTTTTTTGGGTTCGGGTGCGTAGGTTTCGAATTACACCAAAGAGTTGGAAGAGATGAAACATGTCACCAAGCAAGAGTTCATTGCTTCTTTGCGAAGGTGAGTTAACCGCTTCATTGCTTTTTTATTTGTTTTGGTTTTGTCGTTTTGATTGCTGAAAGTTTTGGTATTTGTTTGACCGATAGAAAGAGTAGTGGTTTCTCGAGGGGTGCCTCTATTTACAGAGGTGTAACGAGGCATCATCAGCAGGGTCGATGGCAGGCGAGAATTGGCCGTGTTGCGGGGAACAAGGACCTGTATCTGGGGACGTTTGGTAGGTGTTTTTTTTGTTGCACAAYGTGGATGTTGGAAACATATGTCGAGGTATTAATGTCGATGTTTATTGCTGGCTTGCTGTCTTTCTTGCAGCTACTGAAGAGGAAGCAGCCGAGGCGTACGACATAGCAGCAATCAAGTTTAGAGGTTTGAACGCTGTGACCAATTTCGAGATGAGTCGATACGATGTGGAAGCTATTGCGAAGAGTGCTCTACCGATTGGGGGAGCAGCAAAGAGGCTGAAGCTTTGCCTGGAGTCCGATCAGAAACCGCTCCCGAACCACGATCAAGCAGCTCAATGCAGCAGCGGAAGCAACAGCATCAGTTTCGGCGCCAACGTGCAGGCAGTCCCGCCCATCCCTTGTGGAATTCCATATGATACTGCAGCCATGCTGTATCACCACAACTACTTCCATCATCTTCAACCTAACGCCATATCGGAGTCGACGAGCGCAGCCCTTGCAGCGCCAGTGACCATGGCACCTCAAGCAGCCGAGTTTTTTGTTTGGCCTCATCAATCCTATTAGATTTGCCGATGATCGAACAAAAATGCTATAGCTAACATGACCCGACTAGTTCGTCGACAACACCGTGTCCTGGGCGACCCGGAATTTTATCCCCAATGACTGTAGTTTCAACTGTTAACCCCCTTTTTTTACAAGTAGGAAAAAGAAAAGAAAGTAGGGAGGGTTTTTTTTTGGCATGGAAACTAARCTTGTTATAATTTGTAGGAAGTTGAATTTTGTAAAGTTAATACATCCCATCAATATGGTTTAGACTTTGACATAATATTGTGTTGAATGTGTAAGAAGGGAATGGGTGTATCTGTCTTTTGCTTAAGAAACAGAAAAAGGCCTGTTAGAATTATAATCTTTTTCATATATATATTATATATTTTCTTGGGCATTTGATTATATCCTTCAAGTATTGTAATTAATTGGTTTGTTTTAGAAAAAGAAAAAATAACTCTTACTTTGAAAGTTAAATTGGTCCTACATGGTATGGCAGTTTTTTTTTTTGTATTATTACTAAAAAAAAGATGTGGTATTAAAGATTTATTTGTCCAAAAAAGCTTTTAAAATTCTATTACTTTTTGAGATGGAATAATTTTAGGAAAAAAATGTGAATAATATGAGCTGAAACTTGGAGTGAAAATATTGCTAATACCAAATTTAAAAATTTAGTGGTTACTAGGGTTATTAGCCATAATATTTCCTGGACAATGATGATAATATATGATTTTATATCGTGCTATATTCGTCTGTTTGATCAATTCGTCTGTTTGATCAATTCAATAGAAGAACCAATCATATTAAGTATGATTCGCCTAAATAGAAAAAAAATTATCGAAGATTTTATATCGTGCTATATTCGTCCGTCCAATAATTCAATAGAAGAACCAATCATGCTAAGTATGATTCGCTTAAATAGAAAAGAAAATCATGCTATTCGATGATAGTAATTACCCAATAGATTTTGTGCATTATACATTATTAATTTAGGTTTATGAGAAGCTGCTAATTCTTTTTCCAAAAAAAAAAAAAAGCTACTAATTGAGGCCAAAAGGGTAAAATAGCTCAATAATAAATGAGATTTTACTTATTCCTTTAGAGTATGAAGTTCACATGTCCCATATTTATTGTACACTACTAAAAAAAATTACGCTTTAAAAATTTATTCTCATCATGATTATGATCAAAGTTAAAGGTTGGATGAAACTTATATAAGGATAAATATGTAATTTAGTTTTAAATAATTGTGCCAATTTCTAATTTCATTTCTAATCTACCTATGTCACTTTTTTTTGTATTTGTTAATATTAGTAATTCATTGAAAGATAAATTATCACCTCCTATTTGCATGGTGACAAGTTTAAAATTATTTTTTGAAATTCAAGTTTTTATAATATGTAAGGAAAGTTTATTGGATTTACTTTAAAATTTTCAATTTCGTTAGATTCAACTTTAGGCGTGGACTAGTGTTAAGTTCACCTGCTAAAGGTAAAAATTTATAAAAACATACTAATCTTATGGAAATCAAGCTTTACATCAAATTAAACTCGAGAAAGAAATCGAATTTTTGAATCTCCACTTCACATGTTGTTGAGAAAGAAAAAAATCATCAAGGAATAACATCAACAATTTTTATTTATTATTATTATTATTTTTTTTTTTACAAAAGCCTAACATCAACTATTAAACAAAGTCCTTGAATCTCACAAATTTAAAAAAAAAAAAGAAAAAAATAACAAAATTTAAAAAGAAAGTTCATCTAAAATAAATTTACACTTATTTAATTTTAAGCTAAAAATTAGCCAAACTCTCATTGGATTAAATTGAAAATTTAGGTTAAGAAATTGATTTTTTTTCTCCCCCTGTACTGTACCATTATGAGACCCAATCAAATATTTGGTCTTCCGGAAGCATTCTGAACATTACAGAAAATAGCTGCAAAGTTCGCGAAGTTCAGAGAGAACACAATGGCGACGGCGGCGGCGACGGCGACGGCGACCGACCCCTTTTCTTCTTCCTCCATCTTCAATCAGAGCAGCTCCAGACTCCCTGACGATACCGTCTTCTACGCCATATTTCCCGACGCATCTCTGAGCTCCGGCAACACCGCCGACGTATTATCCTACCTCCAATCCCTTCACCTCCAAATCATCACCACTATCTCTGCATTCACCTCCGACTATATATGGCAGCACCAACCCTTCACTCTCTCGCTTTCTTCTCTCCACAAATCCTCCTGCTTCTGTTCCTCCCACCTCCCACACCTTCACGGGAAGCTTCGCTTCGGTGACAACCTTGAAGACGAATGGTTCACTGTGTTTCTTCTTTTCCACATTTCGAAGAGTTTTCCTTCGCTTTCAATCCGAGTGTGGGACACGGACGGTGAATTCTTGCTTATTGAGGCTGCTTTCCACATCCCTCGATGGATTAACCCTGAGAACAGTCTTAATCGTGTCTTCATTCGCAACGGTAGCCTCCATATTGTACCGAAAATCCGATTACGGGATCCCAATTTGATTGATTCGCTGAAGTTCTTGGTGGATTTTGATCAGGAATCCAGGGCGTCTGAGTCTGTTCAGCTGGCAGTGAAGAAAAAGATATCGGATTATCCCGGGAGAGCGGAGAGAAATATGCATAGAGTTAGGGTTAGGGTTCCTCTATCAGTTGCACAGGTGTTGAAGCATGAGCCCTGCTTGATTTCGCTGGCGGTTGAGGGGTTTTATGATCGTGACATAGACACAATGAAGTTCGCCGCCAAAATGGAGAAGTTTTTTAGGAGAGGGAGAGAAGAAGAATTGGTTTATGTGTCGGTTAAGATGTCGAAGGCGATGTTTGCACAATTGATGCAGCAGAGTTTTCAGGCGCCCAAATGCTATCCGATGCCCAGTAGGACCAATGCTTCACTGTACACTGAGGCTGAATTGGGAATGAAGATAGCATGCGGATTTGAGATGATTTATCAACTAAGAAGACAAGAGGGGTCTGAAGGGAAAGGTAGGACATGGGAGGCGTTTAGAGAGAGTTTAGAAAATAGCGGATACTTCAAAGGTTTACTTCCGGGTTCGAAAGAGTATGGGAGATTGATGCAGAATGCGGAGGAATATTACAGGAATAGTCAACTCTCATCAAGAGCCAGGTAATTTTATTTTCCGCACAATTGAAATTATATTTACTTGGGTATTTGGAGCTTGATAATATGGATTTAGCATACGGACTCTGTTAACCTGGTTTGTATGCAATGACTGCACTTGTGTTGTGGGTCGTAATTTATCTATGATTTTATGGTGAATTTGGTATTTGTAGATTATGTGTTGATTGAATGAATATGAACTCTCAGCATACAGGATTCCACATGCATTATGGGATTCAATAGCAGTATAACATAACTGTTCATTTGATTAATGATTATGGTCGTGCAGATTAATCACATGGCTCTCCAACCTAACAATTGTTGTGGTCTTTTCTAGTGGAATTTTCTTGAGTTCGTTTGTTTTTACTGCAAATACTGAGAACTTCGTATCATTTTCAGCGAAATGATGAGTGCTCCTGTGAGGCGCATAGATGAGATTCTTGCTTCTCCCTGTTCGGCGGAAGATTTCAGGGATCAGGAGGTTCCTCCTTCTGACAACGATTCTTGGCTTTACAATGGTGATGATGAATTGAATGCTGCTCTCTTAGAGCGACAAAAGGAGATGGAAATTTGTAATTCTAAATTTAAAAAGAAGCAGAATTCAAAAGAGGATCAAGTTGGTCCATCTTCCAGCTGTAGCATGGATGAATCTGATCTAGGTGATATATCTAAATCCATGCAGGAATTTGTCAAAAATGTATCAAGCTATCAAGGAGTAGAGGTGCCCGATAACAGGTTTGTTACACATTAATGAATCTAACTGTAATAGTTTTCACGTAATAACTGCAAGGCCCCTGGTCGTGGTTATTCTGCTTACACTGATTTTCCTTGCATAACATCTCGAACAAGCTTATTTCTATATTTGTAAATGCTATATTTTAATCTTCTTATATGTTGATCTATCAATATAATACAACCTCTTACGTTTTAAGGGAGCCAGAAGATGTGAATATTGATGTAGACCGCTTCATTAAAGAGATGGAATCAGTCATGAACTACCATGCATCCATCGAGACTTCTAGTGATGCTGACAATGAAGATGAAGCCTCTTCTGATTTGGATTTTGGTAAATAAAATGCTGTTTCATAAACTAGTTTCTTCTTTTCAGTTTTGAGCAAGTTTCTATCTTTCAATGCTAAAGTCAGAAAGCCATAACTTGGAAGAACACTCTCCCTCCATGTTTTTTCTGTTTGATTTTACTGTAATTTCTTTCCTTAAAGTAGCTCTACCATTTAACACTGGCTACAAACCTTTTTGTGTATTCTTTTATCTATATAGGTTTTTTTTGGGGCTACCTTGCCTTAGAGGAAGTATGGATTTTAGTTATGGATCATCATGAGTTTATGATTTGGATCGTTTGAAATATTTGAATATCCCTAACTGGATCGTCAGTTTTTCTACCATGTCCTGCAGTCTTGCTCCTGGGGATTCTTTTAACCCCGTTTTTCTATGCTTAATGGAATTTTTGATCTTATTACTAAAATTATTTCTTATAGAAAAATTTCCTGATGGATCTTTTGATCATTAAGTTGAAACTGTTGACGCTTTTCAGATGAATCTGAAGATGATGAGAGTGATGGAGCCACCGTTGCGAATAATGTCGATGGAGAGAATACGTTCATGGAATCCTATTCAGATGCTTTGAATGAAGAATTGAAGAGTAGCACCCTCAAGAAAAGCTTTTATCGTGCTACTGGAGAAGCTTCCCAGAAAGATGAGGTACCTACCATTTTCCTTTGTGCATGATGATGCAAAATCCTTATTTCCCCGACCTTTCTAAGGATGAACCCATAACTATATGATTACCCGTCAATTCTTCTTTTTAGATTTTACTCCTATTAATGGCAGTGAGAGAGTTTTGTGGAGTTGGGTCGGAATGTTTCATCTTTCCAACAACATATTTTCTGGATGCTGTGATCTTTAGAAATTTTAATCACCTCCAGATTTTCATTTAAGGGCTGTTGTCAGAAGCAGTTTGTTTTCTGAGCTATCAACCAAATTTATTGTACAACGTCAATTCTCTTGGCAAGTGGTACATGTTTGAGATCCATTGATTTCAAACCCATATAGGATCTCACAGTTTTGGATTACCCACAGCATTCGTTTTATGGAAGAACAAGTTCTTGGTCATTTTTTTATGGTTTTCTGGAAAGAGCTTGTTTTTCTTCTGTCACATGACAATCATATCGTGGGGCTGTATATGATCAATGATACAGTTGGGCAGAAAATACCTTTCATCTACAGTACAATTTATAACACCTTGTGTTTATTGATGTACTTCTACTCACATTTGCAATTGAATAAAAACGTAGGGAACATCAAAAGCTGCTGATCATATGGAGGAGGATTTCACTCCTGTTGATGTGGACGTGAACCTTGTAAAGAGCCTTCTCGATTCCTTTTCATCACAAGAAGGCCTACCTGGTCCTGCTTCTAATCTTCTTGGACTCATGGGTCTAAAGCTTCCGAGAGACGCTGACAAAGGCAAATGAAACGAGCTAACTTCATCGTTGTATAAACGAGTGTTCAGAAGCAAGGTTGATGATTTTTCGTGTAAACTCTACAAATTTACGACTGAACTTTCCTTTCCATTGCAACAAATCATGTTTAGAGCTTTTAGATTATTGTTTCAATCATAGATAAAGAAAGATATGGATCACATGGCGATGAGATGGGAAATGGTGTTTGTATGTATTATCCTCTCTTCTCTTTTACACGATCAATGGAAAATAGCATTGCAAAGGTATCAAAGTTGGAACCTTTGCCTTTTGAAATTTGTTGGGAACAGAACTTTTGCAATTCTTTTATAGTGAGAGCCGATCTTTATAATCGGAGTCTTCAGGATTTGAGTTTGAGTGATGGAGAGTTGTAGAAATACGAGAATTGATTTGCTAATATGAATCAAAGAATGTAGGGTATAAGTATTTTCCAAAAACCAACTTATAATCGAGCTTACAAAAGTCTAGGAAAATCGCACTTCTGCCAAATATTGCAGACCAAAAAAGAAAAATGAAAAGTGGGACTAAAAAGCGTTACAAGATGCAAAACAAAGAAAATGAAAGTTCATACATAATTTACATAGGAGTTCCTGTTCTCAAAGCATGATACTTCTTTTGCATTACAGGTGCCATCCCGGAGAAGATTGATTGCTTTTGCTTTTTCGGTTTGACGCCGAAGATGAATGACCGTAAAGGAACTCGGTTTCGGCTCTCAGAGTGTCGCAGCTGTGGAGTCTCCTGTTTCTTTGATCCAGCAAGTCGGAACTCCTCGTTCAACTTTGACAGGGTAGTATCTACCTCAAGTTGAAGAGATGCTATGTGATCTAATGCTGCCTGCAATTCATCAGCAACTTTGTTGTTCTCTTGTTTCATGTTCAGAACTTCCCCCTGAAACTTTGCAGCTTGATAGCTCGTGAACGAGAAGTCGTCATCCTCGGCACTTGCCTTCAATCCAGCTGTTATTTCTTCTTGGATGTTGCACAGTGATGAAAATCTGTTTTGCAGCTCCTCTTTCAATGCTGCACTTTTATCTGACCAGACTGTAAGTTCAGTCTGTATCTCCCTCAGGTGTTTGTACAATGGCCGGGCTTCTGATTTCAAGGAGTAGTTTCCGCTGCCACTTTCATCCATCTTCTTTCCCTTTTCTTGAAGTTTTTTTACTTCTGATTTTAAATCCTGTATCCCAGTTTCAAATTTCTGTATCTGATGGAAAGAAGTGCTGAATTTCAACCAGAAGTCTAAGTTTTCCTCCAGAAGTTCATCAATTTTCATCCTGAGCTTTTCTTCAATCACTGATATAGTGGTAGGTTGTTGAACTAGAAGCTTACTGATATCGAATGAATCTTCTTCTTCATCGTATAGTTGAGGTGTCGGTGTTTCTGACTGAATTGAATCAGCCCTTGTTATCTTGTCGATGTTTTGATCCTCCGATGTGCTTGAGGCTTCCTGGTGATCTGAGGGACTAAAATCTAAAGATTCCTTGCTTAGATCCACCGATTCCTTGCTCTCAGTGAAACATTTCTGCATAAGATTCAATTTATGGCGCAAGGATCTGATTTCTTGATCCTTCAAGGCATTTGAAGTTTTTAACTCATTTAGCAGCTTTGATGTTTGAAGTTTGTGATCCCGATTCTTTTCATCCATTTCATTGAGCTTCTTCTTGACATCCTTGAAATTTCGAAGAGTTGTAGTGTACTCTGTCAGGAGGACTTTTTCTCTGTCTTCTATTCCACTCATGAACAACTGCTGCCAATTTGGTTCATCTTCTTTCTCCATTACTTTCCCCCCTTGTTGTTCTGCATCAATTGCCTCTGAAAAAGTCTTATTTTCTTCTTTGTTTTGCTCTTTCATCGCATCCTCTGTTTTCTCTGAAGGATGTCCTAGATCTGCCTGTTTGTAAATTTCTTCAGCTTGACTCGTCCGAGTACCATTCCCTCCACCTTCTAAATATTGTGAATTAGCATTGGTTTGAACAACTTCTACTGGATTTCCTGCAGAACCGTTAGTGCCATTTTTCTCGGTAGTGCCTTCAATATTTACTAACAAGGCTTGAACGATTTCTTCTCGACTTCTGGAAGAGTTGTCTGCATCAGATTTCTCAGAAGTACCTTTTAAACTCTCTGATTTATCCTGGGTTTGAGGAGCTTCTGCTTGACTTGTAGAAGTGGCATTCCCTCCAGCTTCCTCACGACCAAAGTTAGAGTACTGTGAATTAGCCACGGTTTGAACAATTTCTACTGGATTTCTAGCAGAACCATTAACATCATTTTTCTCGGGATCGGCTCCGCTATTTACTGACAAGGTTTGAAAATTTTGTTCCTGACTTTTGGCAGCATCATCTGCATCGGATTTCTCGTAACTACCTTTAGAACTCTGTGATTTATCCTGGGTTTCAACAACTTCTAATAGACTTCTAGAAGTAGCACTAACAGCAAGTTTCTTAGAACTGCTTCCCAAATTTGGTGAATCCACCTGGGTTAAACCTGTGTTCTCTTGATTTATGTTCATATCACTTACATCAGCTTTCTCAGATTTACCTTTGAAATTCTGTGATTCCTCTTCTTTAGGGGATGCAAACTCTGATGATTTCATATCAGCGACTGGTTCTTCACTTCGTCTCGAATCTGTTACCTGGCATGCTTCATCTGATTTCATTTGCTTTGGATCATTTGAACCCTCATGAGCTTTCAACTTTTTGTCAGGCTGTTCAAGCTCTGTATGTGGTCCACTTGCACCTAGCTTCATGCTAGGAAGTTTCTCCAGCTGTTCGACCTCCTCCGTGCTTGTTGAAGATTTCGGCTCGAGCTCCACATCCTGTTGTACGCTAGGCAATTTCTCAGAAAGATGATCTAGATTACAATGTACCTCAATTATTTGCGTAGTGAAATTGGTTTTCTCATTCTCAACTTTCTGGTTTAGATCCTGAATCCCACCCAACTTTTGCTCCATTTCTTTCAACTTCTGCTGTAGATTGTTTTTTCCATCAATTATTGATGCCTTGTCATCTTCCAGGGTTCGAATCTGTGTATGGAGTTCGTCGGTTTCTGATCTTAACTGCTTTACGAGGGCGGTCTGTGAAGACAGCGCAGACTCTAAGCTGATCACCTTGTTTACAAGTTCATCAATCTTCTCGGCCATTTCTGTCATGGTAAGACATGTAGTGGTCTCTAACTGCACCTTAATCTTTTGGCGTACTTCCTCTGCTCTTTGTTTCTCTTCTACTGCATTTTCAACTACGTGTTTCGATCGATCTGGTTCTTTTTGCCTTACGGGTTCGTTCTTCACCAGTGACTTCTCCTGGCTCGAAGGATCGCCCTTTAGCTTGCCTTTGAGAGACTCTAATCTCTCTCTAGCTTCCTTAATCCTTGTAGACTCTATTCTTGCTTCCTCAGCTGACTTCTCCTGTTTCTCCTGCAATTGAGCCAATGACTCTTGGCAGGATTTTAAAGCTGCTTTAGCCATCAAATTACGAGCATCATCATCCTCGATGACCATTCCCTCGCCATACTCGTCCTGCAAGTTGAAAACTCTGTCCTGCATCTCCTTGATTTGGTTCTCAATCTCCCAGTACTTCGCAAGCCCGCTTTCATAAGAGCTCTTCAAGAACTCTTTCTCAGTTTGCAGTGCCAGGATCTGTTTCTGCAGCTTGTCAATCTCCTGGAGTGCCTCCGTTTTGGTCAAGCCAGATTTATTAGCCACAACCGTCGAAACGATGTTTGCCAGTTTCGAGCCACTCTTCTGGCTCTTCTTGGTCTTCAACTTCTGGGTCGCTGTCGTTATGACAGTCTTCAAATCAATGGGGGCCTTGGGAACTTTTGGGATGTTCGCTTTGGGGATCTCTGGTGGCTTCTTTGTGAACTTCGGCATCGCTTCTTCGTCTTCCTCGTCCATCGAAAACTGCACCTGCTCCGGAAAAACCGAAGCAATGGTGTTGTTTGCATTCTGCAGCTCAGTTGAAATATGATCATACCGATCAGCCAAAGCTCTATAAGCTCTGTAAAATTCCTGCACAAAGTTGATCAGTTCTGGCCTCTTTTTGTAATACATTTCAGCTCTCCTCGCAAATGAATCTCCATCTTCTTCTATCAGCTTCAACACAACTTGGACCTTCTCCTCCATATCTGCAATTTCCAGAAACTCTCATTTCTCCATCATTCATTAATTAAACTTTAATCCATCTCTGGGTATTAAACTTCTGATCTAATTACAAATGGGAATTGCTTAATTTTTCAGAAACTCCACACATCTTGATCTTACCCAAAAACAAGACCAAATTTTCTCAAGAAAAGACATTCAAAGCATCATCCAATATGCATTCATGCAAATCAAATCACAAAAACAAGGAAACCCAGAAGACAATTCATGTTTCTAACGACCAGAAAACATTAGTCTCCTCATGGATCAGAGAATCTCACAACAAAAAACAACATTTTCGAGTGAATTTTCAGAAGCAAAAGAAAGAGAGAGAGAGAGAGAGAGATGAACCTATAAGATTTTGCTCCATCCATTTGGATTGTTTGGTTCTGATGTGGCTTGCCCACCACCATGAATAAGCGTTGCTTGCAGCTCTCTGCAACATCTTTGATGTTTCTGGGGGGGATTTTCCTATCCTATTTTGTTTCTCTCTCTAATTTCCAAACCTCCCTGTTCTGTTGTGCTCTGTTTTTGTTCTGTTCTCTGTCTTTCTCTCTCTAGGCGAAGAGAGAAGACATGCGATGGAATTTCCTGGAAAGCCTTGGATTAATCAGAATAAACAATGGAAGAACAGAGACTGTATTGTAAAAAGAATTAGAAATTTAGAACAGGAGAGAGAGAGGAAAGAAGAGAGAGAGAAGGAGAGGGAAAGTTATTGAGAATGAAATGTTTGAAGCCAATCCCCTTTCTTACTAAATATGAGATCATGGAGGAGAGTAATCTTCGCCCCAATAACGTGTTCTTCAAAAAAAAAAAGAAAAAAAAATTCAACTTAAGATCTGTCCTCTCTGTCCTAAAATCATTCTTAGTTTTTCTTTTTAAAGAAATAATTTTCAGTTGAATTACCATTTTAGTGCTGCTCTTCTTGGTTTTAATTTAATCTCTTAGTCTCCCAAACCATTATTAGAAGTTGATAATTGTCAAATATTTCTGTGGTAAAAAAAAAAGGCTGGTATCTAAGAAAAACCGGTCGAAGAAGAAAATTATCAATAATATTAATTCATAGACATTTTGAGAGATCTATTCAAAATTACAAGGATTAAATTAAAGTCGAATACAATTGTAAATCTATACTGTCGAGTCACAACTCAATTAGTTTATATATCGACAAAATATCATAAATTCGAATTTTCAATTTCATAGGATGATATATATATATATATATATATATATATATATAATTAAAACAATTAAGGGATATAGATGATATCTCATCATTAAAATAGTGATTTAACAATAACTTTTTCATTATTGTTTCTATACACTTGAAATTATACATGCCACTTTATGACGTTGCCAGCGTGGAATTTGCAGGATTGGCCTCTTGCCTTTTTAACTTTTTTTTTAATATATATATTTCTTAACAGACGTTGAATTCCAAGTGGAAAAGCTTTAGGAAAAAAAATTTCTTAACACGGTGGTGTCGCTCCTTCTGTCACCGACCTTACAAAAGGTAAACAGTCGTATTTAATTTATTTAATATTATTTGATTAGGATTACTTGTCTATTAAGAAAACAAATGTTTTGTGGTATCTAAAATTAAAAAAAAAAAAAGGTTTTGTGGTAAAAATTAAAATTATGCTTTTGAAGGAGCTCGTTTGTCGGTTTCTTTTTAAGGGCGCCTCGTCGACATGCGGGTGTCCAAATCAAAACATTTTCGACAGGTATTTCCGTTATTTTTGGATGTTCCCCAAATGGAGCATGTTCTTATTT